CTAATATGATCCTAATATTTTAATTCGACGTTGTTTACTAACTATGTACACTAATCAAACTCCCATTTGGTATTCTCTTCAGGCTGCATCAAATTTGATAAAAAAAACTATACTGATTACTGATTCTCAACTATGCAATCAATTCGATCAGCCAACCAGTATCAAATACGGGAGCTAGGAGATAAATCCTGATAAACAGTGAATTCCAATAACTAAATCTCTATCTGCCTAGCCGCACCAAAAGCTAACCCAATCTCATCTCTAGGTCGAAAAATACGGTTATCCAAAATTGATATCCTCAAGAATTTCAAAGTGGGAAATGAACTTATGATAATTAAATTGTTAAACCTAGTGCTAACTTTGCCTAAATCTATGCAAAATGTCATACAGCTCTAACCTGAACTACCCTAACTATCTACTACCTACCCTACACACTGTTTCAAATTGCTACAACTATTCCCTGCATTATGAGGTTAACACATTTTTTTACTCCTATACTTTAATTGATATATTAAACATTTGCTACCTGTAGGTACTTATAATGATAGACATATCTACTGGCGATGTCAAAACTTCCGGTGCAGAACGGAGTGCGGGAGGAGGGTACATTCAAAGGGCGAAAATATCGTCCACACGACAATATCTTCTCCTCTTGTAGGAGGAAGGTATCCACAAAGGAAAAATGCAATATTTGGGAGAATTTCTTTAAGGGCTTGATTCTTCTTAGAGCGTAGATTTTGAAAGTAGGTACTACATATGTCAGGCGGCCTTTAAATATTTATATGTAAAGAGCGCCCTCCCCATTAATCATGTATCAGGAAAGTAAACATTGATAAATACAGCATGTTACTACCTTATACCCTAACTATTTACTAAGCTATTTCGGATTAAAAAATTCGCTTCATCTGCACAAGAGTTGTGGACAATTTATGTACTTGCTTCGTTTAAATTTATTTGGTACCATTTTGACAAACCAGTAGTCTTGTCCATCACAAGAACACACATACATACATTCTGTGTAAAAAATAACATTAACGACTTCAATGCTTTAAATAAATACCATTCTATCTTACAACACTAGACACCAAACTGGAAAAACATCATACCTACCAGTTTATTGAAGAACAATCTATATTACATGGGGGCTCTGCTATACAATAAATTGCCCAGAATTAAAACTTCATAAAGGCCGCAGCTTTAAAAATGCAATAAAAAATGCGTAGTCATTCCTGCTTTTTATTCTGTCGAAGAATATCTCGACCACGCATTCCAACTGTGATTTTTATATTTTTACACCTTACTCGTCTTTGTTTTCAGAAACTGTAATTGTGATACCTACCTTGTTTTAATTACCTACTTACTGTATATTCAAATACGTGTTCATATTATTTTTTTGTATTGTTTGAGAAGAATGACTTGTCCAATATCCCAAAACTGTGATCTACTGGATTAAATAAATATTATTATTATAGAACGTCCAAATATTTTGGATATTAAATTTAATGCATCCTATTTCATGGCGTTCCATCTCGATTGAAACATTTTCATATGGAACAACGTTATCGGTACCAAATAGTCCTAAGCAAAAGGCTGGACATCTTTTGTCTGGCGATTATTTCATAATAACATAATTATGTATACGCTTAATCGGCACGATTATAAGATCGGTAGTAATTTTTAATCTGAGCAGTCATTGGTCAAAAAGATGTCGCTCGTATTATCTTGTTCCTAGGATTAGGTATATTAATTTTTCCCGTGATTTTTGCAGTGTCCTCGCTGATCCAAACTTGTTTTTGCAGTTGTCGTTCTTCAACCCGTCCGTTCAGTTAAAGCTGGGCAAGGATATTTGTAAATGTGGTGGGTTGAGTTGGTAGAGCTGCTTTGACCGAAAGCCCGCCCACTCCAAAATAAAGGCAAAATAAAATATCTTCCTCGATGGTAACTGAGATATTATCCATGATTCGCATGACAGTACTTATGGATATGGTATATGTTCCACATCGAGTACGTATATGGTCTAATAGGTCAGTCTACCCCCAATAAGGAATAAATAAACATAGAAATGTTTAAGATTCAAATCCAATTTATTGGCATTTTTTTTCGCTATTTTTGAAATAAAATTCGGTAAATTTTCCTTACAATTTTTTTAGCTTTTCTAAAATTGTTTGACTGAAATGAGAACTTGTGTTCTAGAATGTATTGTGCATCATCTCAAATAACGAATTTATCCAACGCGTATACATCAAAACCCTATAGTTTTGGAATGATGACCGTGTAACGCAATAATTTCATTTATAATGAGCGTCTTTCTTTCTCGTGATTACAGTAGGTGGTTACCGAGGTGGTTACGCAGATATACCGTAGCTAATCATGAAAACCATGTTCTTGTGTTAACTATTTAATTACCTACTTGTCTTGGTCAGATTTACTGATTTCGGAAAACGACCATGTGTATTAAATTCACCTATACAAGGTGGTGACTTGCGTAACGCATCATAGGGATTTCAATGTAAAATTCATAACATGCGATTATTGGCTCCCCAAATTATTTTAGAGCAAAAATGTATTAAGGTCTTTTGTAGAAAAAATTGTTTTACTTACGTCAATCAACCGTATTAGATTTCAATTTTTTGCATAATAAAGACGGAAAATTGGAAAAATAAAACCGCCATCTATTTCAATAATCTGTGATGCCATGGAATTTTATAATACAAAAACTACGCCAATATCCGTCATGCCATGGAATGTCTGTTATAAAACAAATCAAATTCTATTTATATTTAGAACAGCAAATTCAACATAAAGAAAGACCAAATTACTAAAAACGGTTTCCTAATAATAGTACATTATATATCAAGGTAGAGAAGTACAGTATTATTGCCTGAGCACCAAGATTACATCTCGAGGCGCTTGCGCCGAGGGGTGTAAGGTGCGAAGGCAATAATAGACTTCTCTACCGTGGTATATATACTATTTTTTTCACTACTAGCACTTGAAATCCTCTAAATTAACATATTATATTGATAAGAGAGTGAACGGTTGGACAGAATTGTTTGTTTCTTAATTTAACATGTCAATCAAGTACGTGGAAGTACAAGTCAAACAGGCCGTATTTTGTTCTGTCATTGAGATTTTTCAAAGAGTAATTTCGTTCGAATTTTTTCAAAATGTGATAATTTTAGGTATGTAATTTCTCTGGAAATTGCGAATGGTGGCAATTATTCGTTTTAGAGAACTTGTCTAAACGTTCATTGAGCGAAATTTCGGGTTGTGTTTTCTAAAAGTGACAGCGTGACAGTTCCCATTATTGACTACTAGTTAATAATAAAAAATTATTAACCACTTTGAACAAATGCCGAGAAAGCCTACTTTACAAGTGGAAAAAAGGTTAATAATCATGTCATCAGACGCTAGTAGTGAAAAAAACAATTTACAATAAATGTTCGAATAAGTCACCATTAACTGCAAGACAGTAACCAAGTCGATCATAAAATCCATTTCGAACTGCTGCTAATTGATAACTGAGGCATTTTCTTTCGGTGATCCAAACGCGTTTGGATTGTTAAATCACGTTCTATCGAAGTGTGATCTTATGATCATGATTGCTAAAATCCTGAACAAAATGAACATAAAAGTTTTATGATCACAAATTCCTAACCTATAAATGCAAGGATATTTTTGCTCAAATGTTTGGTTAGTCAATATTTGTAACTGAAGAGAAGCATAAGCGTGCAAGTACTTCCTCTTGTATTTAAATTATTTTCATAATCCAAAAAATACCTAATTCGAATGCAAATGTGTACTCCGTAAACTTAACCACACTTTGATTTAAATTCGCGCGTTCTTTCGTAAAACGTGATACTACGAATCACGATTTTGAAATCATGATTGCTAAGTAGCCGAAAGAAAGCGCCTCTGGATATCTTTTTGTTTTAGAAAATCCCATGGCATCGCAGATTGTTGAAAAAGATGCGGGTTTTATTTTTCCAATTTTCCATCTTTATATGAAAAAAATTGAAAACTAATACGGTTGATTGGCGTAAAAAAAAATTTTCTACAAAAAACTTTAATACATTTTTGCTCTAAAATAATTTGGGGAGCCAATAATCACATGTTATGAATTTTACATTGAAATCCCTATGATGCGTTACGCAAGTCACCACCCTGTATACCTAATACGACGCAAGGTCGACGAAATTTTTTCACAAATTACCACAGTTTTTATCAACAATTGCTCTACAATCGCTTGGATATTTCAAAAAATTACCACAATGGCTAGAAAGTTGCTAAAATCGCTTAAAAATGTCCTCAATTGTTGGACAATCACCGCAATTGCTGGGCAATCGCTACAGTTGCTAGAAAATTGCCAAAATCGACACAATTGCTAAACAATCGCTCGATCTTGTACACCAAAATCGTTGAGTGTATATCTCAGTGCATACCATTTAAAGCGAGATTTAAAGTTTAAAAACAAAATACAAAACCTCTAAAATTCTTAGGATTTTCCCACAATTGAAAGTAGTCATTCACTCAAATTTGCTGCATATAATTTGATTCCCATCTCGATTCACACCTTCGTTCCATATCTTTTTAAACTGTTTGTAAAACGAGCCGATATGCCTCGCGATATGCACAATGTTGCTCAGTACGCGATACCCTCGACGATACCATTGATACATTCGATGACGATACCTAAACACACTACAACAAAATACAAAAGTGGCTCTGAATATAGGTATCGGCCCGCTTGATCAATATCATCTACTTTTGTTGCCATCTGTTTATCAATTTAAGGAAAAATTTAGAAATCAGTTGATAAATCCAGAAAGATAAGCAGACGAATTACTTTAGGAACCATAACGCAAAAAGAGGTACACGTCTGTCTATCTTGTTAAAAAGGGTTCAAAAATTAAAAAATGCTAGATATTTTTATATCTGCTATACTTTTAGATCACATGAACGGGCCATAGTGATTTCGGCCGTAGATTTTCGGCAAATTCTGATTTTTACAAAATCTATTCTCATTGCTACATTTTACACTCGATTTTACATTTATATCTACGGCAAACAAACCTATACCTACGTATCAAATCAAGTAAAACAACTGTATTGGCTAAAAGTAATAAATTAATAATAATAATAATAATGAAAAATAAATAGATTTAATACACACGTACACACATTGATGTGTAATAATTTATTTACAAAACAAGTAAGTCAAAATGAAATGATTGAATGTGAACACGAAGCCCCGGTGACAACAGGACTATAGCGTGTTACCTTCCTTGGACACGAAGATTCGAAATCTTTCCTGTAAGCACAAAGGAAAAATAGTATAAAAGGGGAATATATACGCAGATACTTACGTGCGATCTGCTTTAAAATTCTGTTATAAATAAGAAATCAACGTATTCGGAACAATTCAACCATATCCAGTAATCTGTAAAAGGGATATTCCTTTTCAATTTTAGTTATCTGACGAAATTATTGTGCATAGTGGAAAATTGCTCGTACACATGATTTGCAAATAAATATGAAAAGTTGATAGCGTAATAATGGTTGGACAATTTTGAAATTCGTTTATTGGCGCAGTTTTCGTACAGTGCGGTTTAAAACATTAGATTTAATTAGTAGTAGGAGTGAATATACTTAATTTGCATTGTTGCTTAAAAAAATGGGGACGAAAATGCGAGGGATAAACCACTTCAAATTTTGTGTATACTAAAATTCTAAAAGAAGTTCTAAAAATTCTAGAAATTCAAAAAAATTCTACTAGTGTACACCAAAATTCTACAGTGATTTTCGCCTCGTGCGAATGAATTTACAATATTGAGCGTTTGTAAATTAAGAGGATTGGATACCCCAATGATATGCGATTTTTGCTATATCTTCGTTATTTTTAATTCCATTTTCATGCGGTTTTCGACAATGTAATTGAAATTTATCGGCAAACAGTGCTGTTTCATTAAAATTTAAAATTTGTGAATATTTTGATATAAACTTTGTTGTTAGAAATAATTATTTTGAACAATTTAAATAGCGCCGATTACTTATACATTGCGGACACAATTATCACCAGCTAATCTAATTGTAAAAATCAATAACGAAATTAGAGGCATAAATAAGATTTACCTGATAGATGGCGCGTGATAAAAATCTTGTGTGCGTGATGAATAAAGAAAAGTATCTCGAAAAGTACTACGAATGTGGCAACGCCGCGGAGAGTCGTCTAATCTCGCGTCCCTCGCGTCTAATAATAGCGCCGCGCGCTTCTTGGCACAAATCGTTTTGTTTTATGATATAATGAAAACAAGATAATGCTAGATTGCCGTTCTAAATTCGTCATTCAGTTCATTTATCCAAGAAAGAGCGAATAACCATTTTACTAAACCTGACACACTGACAACTGACAGTTTGGACGTTATTGAGTAATTTTTGATGAGCGAATTATTGATATTAAAATCAATATCTTGAAATCTGAGAACTTCAATGTTAAAACCCTACACCATTTTGAAGCGCCTCGTTTAGAGGACCATAAAAAACTAAAAAAATACAGGGTGTTCAATTTAAAAAATATGCTCAACATGACATAACATAAGGGACTGTTTGTTTACGCATGAAATAGTCACGTGGTCTCCAATCCTCTTAATGTAATTTGTATGCAATTGATCAGACATTAAAAACAATTCAATAGACAGCCAGAGTAAAACAATACACTAACTACAGTGACTCACGTGTAGAACCCTACCTATGATCACGTGACAAAAGAATTTCAACCAAGAAAAGATCTCAAAGTAGATTTATTTAAATTATTTTTACAGAAATACTACAAATTTTGAAATAATTGTTTTGTATCTTGAATTTGAAACAAACGCGATTGTAAAAAGCACTAGAAGATTATTCAAATGAAAGTGATGGTGGATTTCAAAAACTACGAAATAGTAATACTTGCATTTGAACTATTTCTCGGTGGTGGCAGTTGTGCAATGTTCCCATACGTTATCGGTCGAAATTGGGGATTCATTATTGTGGCCGTTGGGAAGATTGGGCCCATTGCAGCTCTGATAATGTTCGGTTGTATCGCCATGGGCACTTGACGTCTTCGGCCGCCGCCGCGAGGTGTGTGGAGAATTTGTACGTTGGGTAGGATGTTAGCGGGACGAATTGCACGAGGGCCGTAATTGGATGGGTGAATTTGTATGGGAGGTTCAATAGGTCGATTGGTCCACTGTCCAACTTGTACCATTTGCGTTTTTCCCTTCGAGAGTAGCTGCGAGCCAACAATTTTGCTGGGCCAGCAGTCCTCAAACGACGTACCGGGAGGGAAGTACGATTTGATATTATTTAAACTAATGACCGCGCACGCATCCTTAGAGAAAAGTTCTTCTCTAATCCCTTGAAGTTTGCAACAAAACTTGAGGTACGCCAAATCCCACCCTTCTAATTGGTCAATGTTTAACTTCAAGCTGTCACTCTCGTCTTCGAAATAAAATTGCGGTACGTACTTTTCGCCCGCGCTAACGCTGTAAGGTACAACCGACTCCTTGTTGATGCGCACAAAACCGCACCTGTCGGTTATACCCTTATTTTTCATTAAAAGCTTGGAATAACACGTTTCTAAGAAGTTATGGAGTTCTATAACATCATCAAGTCGCACGACTAAATCTAACGGGGTGAATTGATCACCAAATTGTAAGTCACAATGTTGAACGTTTATTTCGTTCAATAAACGAAGTTCAGCTTCAGTAACGTAGAAACTTTTAACGCAGGCGCACTTATAAATCTCTTGATTAAAACAATGTAAAAATTTGTTTAACACTTTCATCTCCACAACACGAACCGAACACAGTTTTTGCCCCTCTCTTATTATATAAGGTATCAGAGCTTTATTCACAGTAGTCCACCCGAAATGACCACGTAAAGATTCGTCGTCTTTCAGATTCGTTACATTATTTGATTTAATTATTTTAGTTACCGTAATATCTTTACTCGGTGTTAGGAAATTGAATATTGTACCGTTATGTTGTATCGTCTGCACTTGACTTAAAGGAGCGGGAGTCGACATTCTCACTTTATTCGCTTCCATCATTTTATCGGCGAGGTTCTGAATTTCGGTTTCATCAAAACGTTCTTGCTTTACGCCGGTTTCCATTGTTGCAATTTGATCTCTAACACCTACACTTACACCAACAAATACGTTTTTACACTTAAACTAATTTTAACGACATTAAAATTAAATAAAACAGTGCAGCAATAACAATTTACGATCAGCTGTTTGACAAACAACCGACTAAGGACGGTCGATAATCGTATTTACTGTCACAGCCGGTTTGGATCCAAACTAATACCGCTATTTCTAAATTAGAACGTGGATCTTGCCACGCCTAACGATCGACAACCAGCATAACCCGCATACTCGCCACGCAAGCGTACCGTTACAACACGAATGTAAAATAGGTAGAGGATAATTTAAACACATTCAGAGCAATCGTAAATCAAACACAGTTGATATAAAAATTACACAACAAGTCGGTTATGACTATTATGTCATAACTTAAATAACTGAAATTGTTTCCAATAAACGAATTAGGAATTCCCGGTTCTCGTATTAAAATTTCACATCTGCGCACTTCTACACACATACCTACATAACGTGACCACTTTTTAGCGCATTTCCACAAAAATAAAAAATGGGCTATTGTGGCCACTTTGTCCGTCCGTCCGGTAGTTCGTTGAGACGTTACTAGTTCTTTATCTTAAGAGCTATTGTTCTACTTTTTCGCTATTTGGTTCGTTATGGTTTCGAGACTTGGCACCAAGGAAGGAATTTTTCTGCGTTTATTGCTAAAAAAGTTACTGTAAAAAAACCAAAAAACCGTTTTTTACATGTTCCATAGTTTTACAATTTTGCCGTTTATTAACGATCCTCGAGATCGTTTACAATTTTGTATTGCTGTCTGTCGTCCGTCTGTTGGTCTGTCCGTCTGTTCCTTTGTCTGTCTGTCCATCCATCTGTCCGTGTGAACGATAACTTTGTTTAGGAATGTACGATCGCTTTTACATCTCCGTTTAGTTATGAACTGAATTGCATAAAATTCAATATGGGCATAGCTTTAGCCATATAATACGCAATGGCAAAAGTTGAGTCGAATCTATTCAAAATTCACAGTGCCCTTTTCGCATCTCGACTATTTATAAACCGAATTGCAAACTTTTTTTAATTATAAAATTAAATTAATTATAAAGTATGTGCTTGGAATAAAGGAAAATCTAACGCCAGTTTCAAAATTTTATTTTGCGCATGAGCAGTGCCAACTTTTTTTCTATGGAAGCATTTAAGTGAAATTTGATGCATAGGCACTTGGAATAAAGGAAAATCTAACGCCAGTTTCAAAATTTGGTTTTGCGCATGCGCAGTGCCATCTTTTTTATTTAGAAAAGCATTGAAATGAAATTCTTCTTATAAGCTGAAATTGAAGTAGCACGTCAAAAATGGATTGCACATTTGCAACGCTATCTTTCATATTTGTGGCCGGATGGTTACGATTTTAACAGAAGTTGCATTTTACAGATGGGAAATGAATGCAAGTGGAAATGCGCCTTTTGTAAATCGTTTACGATTACTTTTTAACTTGCTAGTAATATTTTTGCCTGCCTAAGCCGGGAAATGATAAGTTTCTAGATTCGTTTGGCTACGGAAAACAAAACTTTGTATGGCAAGGAGAGCCGTGGTTTGAGGCATCTCAGTTTATGTGTTGCAATATTTCTGAAATCCATCGCTACCCGCATTTTTTACAGGAAGAATACCTATGTTATCTAAAAACCGGACACTTTTGTGGTTTTTCGGAGCAACCGGATATATATCAGGTAAAAGGGACTGCCCTGTTCAAAACGACGTTTGATGGTTACATTAACTATACAGAGTGGTACCTAGCGTGACGCAGCATAGGATTTCAATGGTAATCTCTTCATAGTCAATTACTGTAGCTCCCCTAATTATTTTAGAGCAAAAGTCTAAACACGTTTTTTTAAAGTAAAAAATATTACATCTGTTCATACTCTATTACTTATAATTTTCCGTTTTTCAAAACCGTGGAAATCGACAAAATAAAAAGGTTCATTTTTCAATTAATCAGATATGCCTTGGAATTGCTTAAAGAAACAGTGGTCAAGTTTCATTATTTGCCTTTGGCGTATTAAATGTATACTTTTGTTTATAAATTAGTTAATCATAATAGTACATTATACAGGGTGTCCCTAAAAGGTTTGTACAACGCGCTACCAGGGGTTCTTAGTATCAAAATAGGACGATTTAACCCAACTTACCTCTATCCAAAAGTGCTTCGGTAAGGCGCTATCTACCGCCCAAGATTAAAAAAAATCGTTATTTTTATTTTATCGGAAAATGGTTTTGCCGATTAACATGAAATTCGGGATATGAATGTGTAATGTAAAAAGGGTCTTTGTGATATCATCGTTTTGATTGTAGTTGCTATGTAGGTGGTAAAATACTGACTACCATAATAAGGTAGTATTCAGTTGTTTTTATTTCAGAAATCAAATGATTAACGAAAAACAATTTTCAGCACATCCATGTAAAGTACCATTTCGATCCTTTTTTATTTTTTGAACTTTCTGTGTTGCTGTTGCGTTAATAACTAATTTTTATGATCTGGACAAAATGGGTTCTGACTTCTGAGTGACGTCATTCGTATTTTAATACTAAACGTTTATTGGCTGAAAGTTACGAGGCAACCTACTCTTTCTACTAACCTTGGGCCGGAACTTACTACAACCTTCAAGTTGGCTAAAACAAAAGAAATAAATGTGGGCGCCACCAGCTCACTTCCTAATCCGTTATTAAAATAAACCCATTGAATTACTGATTAAACTTCCTGGAAGCATCCACTGGAACCCCACCCAAAACAATGTAAATAAACTTTACGTAAAACACACACACACAAAATCTGTACTTGATTTGTCGGTCGGTCGTTTCCGGTCAGGGAGGCTATGATTTTCGGATCGAACTTAACGACGAATATAAAAAATGTTTTGAGACTTGGTAAAATATTCCCCTGAACGAGCCCCTTTTTAGGGCATTTCCACAAAAATTTAAAAAATGCGCTATTGTGGCCACTTTGTCCGTCCTTCCGTTCGTCCTTACAGTCATTCGTCCGCTACTAGTTCTTTATCTTAAGAGCTTGTTCTACATTTTTCACTATTTGGTTCGGTAGTGTCGAAACTTGCACTAAGGCAGGAATTTTTCTGTGTTTTTTTTTTCATGTGCCTACCATAATTTTACACTTTGCCGCTTATTAACGATCCTCGAGATCGTTTATAATTCTGTATTGCTGTCTGGCTGTTCGTGTGCAGTTGTGCGCGATGACTTTTGTATTTCAGAAATCCAAATTTTTTATTTGTTAGGACATTTAAATGAAATTTCGTATATGGGTATCTATACTGTATAGGCAGATCGAATAAAGGTAATCAAAAAATGTTTTGCGCATGCGCAATCCGATGCAACTAAAGACACTTAAAAGAATTATTGCGCATTCCCAGACCCACAATTGTTGTACAATTTTAGAGTAGGATTCTTGTTATAAACTGAAATTGAAGTAGTACGTCAAAAATGGATTGCCCATGTGCAACGCCAAGGTTCTTACTTATTTGTGGTGGGATTTTTACGATATTTTAACAGAAATTGCATCTTACAAATGAAATGGGAAATGAATCCGCTTTTTGTAAATCGTTTACAATTACTTTTTTAACTTTTTTTTTTCATTTTCAAACTTTTCGCGCAATTTTATCACAAGCACCTATAGGTTCAGATTTACTGAGTATACGTTTCAAGAACATTAAACGACTAAGAACAAAAATACTTAGTGATAAACTTACTTCGATACTTATCGAAAAAGCATTGTTAATAACCACTGTATGGGCGACCAAGGATGCTATATTATACCACAGATAAATTTATCTGTGATTATACTATATATTATAGCATCCTTCATGGGCGACAATTTATCTTTTTGTCAGAAATTTACTGACCATAAACCGTTACAATGGTATTCCACACCACACAAATCCAATGGAGAATAAAATTAGAAGAATTGTAACGGTTTAATTTCTCTATTAAAAGCAAGCACGCCGGCAAGGGAGTGGTTTACAGGATTGACCCCCCCCCCCCCTCAAACATGAAAAGCGGAGAAAATTGATTGATAAATCACTATAAAACTGCCAGCTGTCTGACTGGGAAACTGATAAATTGCTAACTTGTTTTAGGATTCAGTAATTACTTTGGTAATCGATCATTGTTGGTTATTTTTTACTGTCGTATAATATAACGAATATGATGAATTTGAACTATATGTATTTGTGGACTCTAAAACGCGATACGTTGGCAAACACGACTGTTTGCTTTGAGTACCAGTACAAATACACTCCTGGGTAATTTACCTGTCCGGCTGTCCCTTTAGGGACTCTGATGGTACCGATTTTGGTACAAACAATATACAAGTTTTCGGGGGTTGTTGAAATCCTAAACAATCATTCTTGATTAGAGGTTTGTTAAACTGGGAAATTTCAATTGCACAGTCAAGCTACTAAGATTTTTATGTGGTAACGTAACTTATAATTTTGAATATTTGTGCTTCGCTATCCCATTGTGGTTTATTTTTGATTTGATATTTGCTGTAAATAAAGAAGTATTTCTTTTCGTACCTAAATTGATTTTTACTGTTAATACTACCGTCGTATCTTCTCAATTTCATACGGGGAGAGTTAATTTAGAAAAACCATTGGTAGGTGCAACGAAGTTCCGAAGATCATTTTACCAAGAACCGAACTATACCGCTGTGGAAGATGCTCAAGCTCTTATTTTGTGTTTAACAGTGAGCTAGTTGGCCGTTTATGCGGCGGGATTGAAGAAAAGCAGTACTAACTCTACCTACCCGTTGTAGAATATGGTTACAACATTTTTAATTTAACACCTAACACAAATGCCGATGCCCTTTCGAAATTCAGACGAAAGAAACCGATTCCTTTTGGCATGTACTCGATGACATATGACATGTTAAACTGTTCATTTAGAACAGATTCCCACATCCGCCAAAATTTAGGAACCTTAACCAGGAAGAAAATAAGTTAAGTTTAGCAGTATAAATAAGGAAATGCTGTCAAACCCAGAAGAGTTGCTATACACTAGGAAGCAAAATGCAAACCTATTCAAAACAACAGTATGCAGTCTTCGCAAGGACGGGGCGTCAGCATTTCCTCAATAACAATAAAAAGTAAACTAGTAGGTTAAGAAAGTATAATGTCTGTGATATAAATAGCTTTTAAGAATCTACAATAAAACATTATCAATTCGCAAACGGTCGAGTGAAGGTACCGAGGTGTTGAGATAATCCCCGACCTTGTGTAAGATTCCGCTTGGGAGCGCTAGGATTTACCACCCTAACGCTACATTAAACAAACATTCCATTTCCAACGATAGATATCGATCCGCCCGATTTGATTGCCCTTAAAATTCGAATACCCCTCGTGACCAATTTCCATCAATTAACATCCCAGTCAACTCCTTAGAAAATCTCCAAAACCAACCAGATGATACTATGTCAACGATAGGAAATGTCCACAATCAAATTTCTATTTTCGATATAAGTACCCTGAAATTTAAACAAGTATAAATTGTGCAAAACTCTTGTGCAGATAAAACGCATTTTTTAACTGAAATAGCTTTTGTTTTGACATCACCAATGGATATACTTCTTGCAGACGTCTCAATCGCTCTCTGTGAGTACCCTCTTCCGACAATCCGTTCTTGAGGTATAAGGGAATATACTCGATCACGATAAGAGGTCGAGGATGAGCGCTATGGTTGGTAGAAATTAATTCCATTCGTTGAGGTACCTTTCATTGAGGTACCTTTCATTACATGTACCATGAAGGATAAAACTAGTTCCCCCCCCCCCCCCCCTCCAACCCCGCCGTCTGGCACACCTTCAAGGTATAGGCTACCTACTGCGAAAAATTGCAGGACTCTAGGACCATTCCCCTAGAAGTAGTTCGAAACGGCAGAAGTGGGCTCGGACGGACAAAACGCAAACAATAGCCCATTTTTTATAATTCTTAAAAAATGCACTAAAAATCCTAAACGTAACGATGAAGCTCACATAGTGCCCTCTAACGCTGAGAGAAGCCCAATTTTGTAAATTGCAAATTACCCCATTAATTACGCAAACTAGCAAATCTTCACTGAACTTGTTGTAAGCAAAGAATCGAAGTTGAATTTTCAGAAAATAATTTCGATCTTGACGAATTACGTATCTAATTAACTTCGATAAAGAATTAGATGTCACTTATCACTTATACTTATGCATTAAGGAAACTGAATCCAGATTCCTTACTCAATGCATGTACTTACTTCGAAAAACCGAACGTTTACGAAAAATTATCAATAGTACTACAAAGCGGCGACAATGATTAGAATTCCCTAAAATTTAAAATGTGTACAAAGTGATTAATAGATGTACCTACCTAACTGATAAGAACAGCATAAGGGAAATCATCCCAAACTAATATGAAGGAAAATTAAACCATCGCGGAATTGCCGAAACCCTAATAATAAAAGAAAATATTGGTAAACAATCAAAATTCTTAACAATAATCGATAGCTTTTCTAAGTAGGCTCAAACTTCCAATCAAACTTACTCACGAGTCACGAGCACAGAAATCGCCGATAATCTTATTAAAAACTTTTCCCATCATAGAATCCCCAACCAAATAGTTGTCGATAATGGAACAGAATTTAAAAATTCTGTTATGGCCGGATTATTAAATGCCTATACAGTATACACAATATAAAGTTACACTTTGTTTCTTCGCCAATTGAGTACACAATATTGGCGTATAATCACTCACATTCCACAACAAAATTTAAACCATTCGACGTAATCAACGACCCATTCGGTTTAAAAATTGACTCAATTGAACTCTTACATCGATAACCATAAACAAAATGCGAAATTACCTACTTAATACATACAAGGTAAATTTAAATTAAAAATGAAATTTCAGAAAAAGTCAATAAAATTCGACATGCAACAACAATATTTTCGAACCTGGACAAAAAGCATTTGTAAAAAATCACATTAGACATAAGGACGCTAATAAAATTTAAACCACCTTCCGAAATAAAAGTATTGAAAGGAAAACTGTATCCACTATCCGCAAAATAAATTTCACATGGACAATTTAAAACAACATCTACTTACGTAGAATATATTCCTTTGCTTATTAAGTGTATGTAATGTGTGTTTTCTACTACCACGGCCGGATTTAAGCATAGGCGCGCTCCTAGGGGCGCCCGCCACATACTTTCACATTTATGAAAGCAATGAATGATGATGACATTGGAAGCAGACCAGCGGGTGGCTTCATGGGCACAGAGCAAAAGACATGTTTAATGGGCTGTGTACATGAAAGAAAATGATCTGGATATAAAAAACTATCGTGGTCTTACGACAACGCCTGCAATGAGCGGAATATACAACGGATTGCGTTTTAGAAGTAATAGCGTGGATATCTTGCGCTGGACATTCATAGCCCCCCCTCCCTCGGCCCGAACTGACCGGTTTCCCCATTTTTCCATTTTCGTTTTTGGTTTATAACAGTATTGTCGTTTTTTTTTACGTTTGACTTCGAATATCTCGTTAACTATTACTCTGAGGGAAAAAATGAATAGAAATGAATTTGTTTAGAATCGAATTTTCTACAAGATAGCAAGGGGTTGGGTACGTACATTTTCGAATGTTATTTTTTTTATGGAAAAATACAAAAAGTTATCTCGAAAATTAGTAAATTGTTATTACTAGGTAAAATTCATCCCAACTTTTTGAATATACATATTTGGCTTTTGATAACAAACCAATGGCCCGTATGAATAAAAGTAAGCAAATGCTTATACTTGAAAAACCAGTATGAAGGGGTATTTACTATGAATTTTGCAAGTATAAGCATTTGCTTACTTTTATTCATACGGGCCAATGTGTCAAACTCGATCACCGTAGGTTTTATACGTATTGAATAATTAAATAAACAGATTTTTAAAAAACCGCATGCTTTGTCTTGAAAGACTGGGTGATTCGCAGAGCATTCTCAATTTATTTTACACATCGCGGAACCCCAAAAACAAAGTTTTCCAACTATCCTAATGATTTTTGCAAATCGACGGGAATTTAATATAACTTCCGAAATATAAAAAATGTAACTTTCTAATAGGCGAATGGAAAGCTCTTTTTATAGGAAAGATGCACATTAAAAAAATAATTTCAAGCTAATAATTTGAGAGAGAATTTAAATTTTAAAATTTAAAAGTTATTCGCAGATTTATATTTTAATTTGTAAAACTTCAGAAACTATATAATTAATGCTGGATCATTAATTATTCTGCCTCATTCTTTTGCACTTTGTCAAAAACTCTGTTTAACATTTCCTTTGTCTACTTTTTTTTCTTCATGATTCCTCGAACCTGTTCCTCGACTATTACACCAGAATCGGAAACAGACAAGCTCATGAGAAAATGTGTTAGGCGTCTACGCGTTTGATTAGTAACAAGTCACAACACAAAATGAGTACGAAAAAATGGCATACGGGTCTACATAAATCCGAAAATGGACTATGTGGTTTAAATGACAACACCTATTTTATATTCAATATTTCTGGTTGTACATGAAATTGTGTTTCTTTTGATACTCGCACGTCAATATCCACCATTGACGACTATTTGTAATATTTCGCTTTCATGAAAAGTTGGATTTTTAAATTCATTATTTGAAAATCGTTGTAGTTATGGAAACCACCGTGTAAAGGAAGCGTTCAGGATGATCTTAACTATGGCTCTCGAAATTTAATAAGCATTCAAATTTCAATAACAAAGACTTTACTGATCAAGGAACCAGGGAAATACAATACAATGCGCTATATGATATAACGAGGAGATACTACGCGAGTGATATACTAACTCTATGACACCGATGCGCCCCAAGCCCATCATCATACATTATCAGCTTTAAGTTTTTGTGTGAAACTATTCCTGCCGGCGTTGTTTGAAATTTTTTTCCGAGTCGAAGGCGGTTCTTGATGTACACGGGGGATGGCTCGCTATACGGGTTTCCGTTATCCTCCAATATAGATTGATTTAACTGTTTACAACAGAACGAGTCATTAACAGCTTTGGAGATTCACGACTTACTACTGTAACTTAAAGTCACCGTAACGCCTTCTCTTCTAAGTGTAAATACCTTACAATACCACAAATTTTGGGTAAATTACCACGCGTTGGATGAATTTATTCGAAGAACTGTATCCGTCCGTAGACCAACGTGCAATTTTCTTAACAGATGAGAAACTTACTCGTGAAGGAAGGACCCGCTTGTGTTTACGCACCGTTACTGAATCATGTTTGTTTGTTATACTGTACAGGTAATTATGCCTTTACATTCTTTATTAAGTATTTATTATGTATTCACGAGAAACTTTATTATCAGTGTGATGTTGCTTTGCATGATTCGATTTAACTATACCGTGAACCTAATACAGTTCGATTCTTCGCTGTATCTGTTACTTTCTTTCTCGTGCGGACGGCAGCTCTTGCGTCTTAGCAATACGAAAAGGGGGTCCTTTAATTAAACTTTGTTTTATTACCTAATGCGGTTTTGGTTGTGAAATACTCACTACTGGCATCTGTTCGTGTTAAATTATGGTAGCCGACGCCGTTTTAAACACTTAAATGCATGCGAAATAGGGGTTTACAGTATAGTTGAATTCCGTAGTTCTAATTTAATAAGCGTAGGTATAGCTGAAACCATAAAACAATTTTTTGGACAGTAAAAGTTTATTTAAAAACAGTGGCTGATTAGAAAAAAAATAATGAACATGTGCAGTATTAGGAGTTTATTCAAAACGAGATGATTGTGGCGGACTCTGTGACGTAATAAGCTCGACCAATCAGCTGCTAGAACCAGTCAGATGGCATTCGACTTGGCAATATTGCGGGAGAATGTCATTTGTAATTTGCGTCATCTGTCACAGGCACTTGTCGTTCACTTTCGCGTTAGATGCCACAACCGCATTTATATTTACAAGCCTTGCTGAGAATTATGGCAACACTGCATGGAAGGCTGATTTCCTAATGTTTCCTAATTCAACTTGGCAGATTTCAGGTGTATTTTATACGTGTTTTGGGTGTAATATTCCTATTTACCTGTTCTAACAGAGCGAAATTGCGACAATTTGCGTTACTCCGTATGGAATCAACAGAAATTATTACCTATTCAGGTAAGTTGCTAAACAAAATATATCGATTTGTTGTCATAACCCCTAAAGCAGGCTACTCGTTACTGTTATCCATTTTTGTAAATGAATAAAATATACTCACAATTGTAAGCTGCCTAAGTATCTTTCTTCTGTATTAAAACCACCAAGGCGAAACACAGGAGAGAGGCAAAATGCCATTTTTCAAGAGCAACAAGTCGCCATTAAAACGTTAATCGGCCCACCGATTGACTTTCGGACAACGTTGCCAAACTTCTCAGCATGGGTTGTAATTATAGACGACTGTGTAGATGCTGTTAAACCTCTTAAAACGTCAGACCCTCCACCCTCGTACAAGGTTGCCAGCTCACTTTTACGTGATTGGTTGTAGGTTTGTGAGCTATTTAGACTGAAGCGTTTCAAATTCGGACTAAAAACCTAATTTAAAATTCCTACTTAACAAAAGACGATTATCCCCGACATTTTACGCAAGTTCACTTTCTTAAAATTTCAAGTTCGTTCTTTTAAAAAATGGTCTCATATTTCAAGATAAATTAGAAAAAGGTGTTCCGTCGGGAAAACATTTAATATAATGAGTTCTACAAGATGCAGCCATGCAGCTACTACAAAAATTATAACCTCAACGCAAGAGCTATTTTTATTTTAATATATTTTCTTATGTATTCACGTCACAATTCAAACAAGACCAAGAAGAGCAGCAAACAACAGCTGTACGCAAAAACACTACTGCACCGGCCAAACTCGTGGGCTCGTTTACGGATTCTAGAACTGCGCTCTGGTCCCCGAGGCAAAAAAATCTTGACGATGATTGTGCGCATGCGCGGGCGGCACAATATCAACTTTCTTGTTTATTAATGTATTTTGTTGAAATTTTAACCACACGTTTCTAGTAAAGGCACACATATCAGATGCGCAGACTGGGGAATGCAAACTACAGGAATTATTTTGAAATTTTAACCATAGATGCTTCTAGTACATAAAAACAAGCAAATCTACACATTCTTCGTTGTTTTCTTTGTTGCCGTGTTTTGAAACATGGAATAGTATAAAGGACAAGTATTACAATGCGACCTATTGGAATACGACTATCTTGTGGCACGAGTGGCGTAGCGAAACGGAGCCACAAGTGTCCAGAAGATAGTCGTATTCCAATAGGTCGCATTGTAACAGTTGTCTTTCAATATACTATTAGGTGTGCAATTTTTAAAATATGTAATTGTATTTGTATCGAAGCCAAAGTTGATTAGTTTATTTCAGATGCCGCTAAACCTGAGACATGCGGAAAATTTTATCCCATACACAACACCATTACGTAATTAAGCTTGTGAATTTAATTGGTTTTCAAGGTGTGCACATAACAAAGGTACTGAGAATATGATGAATTAATTAGCTGCTTGGAAACCGCCTTTTGCGTAATAACTTACTTACGTTTCAACGCTTGATCGTTTTCTAAACCGATATGGCATGAATCCAAGACGCACTTAATGGAGAAATTCCCTCATTCAGTGTACACCGTACAAGTACATGATTAAAACAACAGTCATTGGCCTAGATTTCA